AAATGAAAACCAAGTGTTGGAAACACTTATATAATGTATTTTAGGTAGAAACCAAGTATAAAAACTTAAAAACCACTTCATTAAGGTAAAAAACCACGGCTAGCCAAGTTTATGCCGTTTCACATGGTTTTCACCAAAAGACCAAAAACGAAAGGTGGTTTTTAACATGTTTTTGTTGGAGAACTATTTGGATATTCCCAGAAGTAAAAAACAATCATAAAATCTTAAAAACCACTTGATTGATTTGGGCACCAAAAACCAACACCGATAACCGGCACCGAATGCCGATAACCAACGCCGAAAAACAAAGGTTATGGTTTTTGAAAACTAATCATTTGGAAAACCATTAAATGTGTCCAGAAGCATAAACCAAAGATAAAAACCCAAAAACCATTTGGTTAAAATCAATGCCAATAACCAATGCCGAAAACCGAACGCCAGAGCCGAACGCCGATAACCGATGGTTATGGTTTTGGTTAAGCAAGTACCATGGGTTTTTGAAACTTAAAAAATATTTATGAAAACACTAATTTGATGCATGAAAAACATATTTTGTTTTGAGCCATGACGTAGAGAAATTGAATGAGCTTGTTACAATAAAATCTAAGTCTTTAGAATACGTCTTCAAAGCGCCAATGTCGCCATCTTTAGCAACATCAATTCCGTTCTTGTGCTTTTTGTTTCTTCAAAGAACTTTTTCTATCTTTTCATTTTGTTCCATGTTCCCGACGGTTTGTCAATATCAAAACCTAAATGGAAACAAACATTGTCATTAGCAAAATGTCAAAGTGAAAATGTTTTCCAACAGGAAGTTTACTCCAGGTGATCGATCTTTTGCCCTGGATCGATCCCCAACGCTCCAATCTGTCAAAATCAGCCTTCCCTACTCCCAACGGATTTATTTCTTTTTCCTCTATATAAACTCTCTTCTTTGGTCATTTTTAATAAGAAGAAACACTCCAATACTCCCCATTCTTGAGGTTTTAATCCTCCATCAATCTTTCCTCAAATTTATATTATTTTGAGAGAAAACTATTTTTTTTAAGAGAGTGTTTTGTCATCCATTAGAGCTTTAATCATTTCTCTTATCTACTCTTTTGAGAGCTATTGTTGAGAGGTTGAAGAAGTTTGTTCTTCTTGTTGTTCAAGGCTTATGTGATTTAAGTCTTGGTTGTGAAGTCTTGTAGAGGGCATATCTACGAGCGGTTGTATCGAGGCTTGTGGGATTCAAGTTCTCGAGTTGTAAACGGTTTGTTAAGCACCCGTAAGCTTAACGGAAGTAGTGGTAGCTTCGAGAGAGTCTCTCGGGGAACTGGACTAGCCATGAGGTGGTGAACCAGTATACATCGGTGTGTTCTTTGCCTTCTCTATTTTATTTCCGCTGCACTTACGTTTATATTATTAATCCTGCGAAAATCGGTAAACATTCTCAAACAACTCTATTCACCCCCCCTCTAGAGTTGCACGCCTTGTCTAACAATTGGTATCGGAGCAGGTATCTGTAACGCTCTTTGGGACGTTTGAGAAAACGATCAAAATTTTTTTTAGAATGTTGAAGGCAGGGATAGGAGAAGGGCAATCCACTGTAAGGCCGCCATTTTTTGATGGAACAAATTACTCCTATTGGAAGAAGCGAATGAGGATTTTTGTTCAATCAAACGACTTCAAAATTTGGCTTGCTATCAAAAATGGAGATAGCTTGCCGATGAAGAAGATAGGCGATACACTCATCCCGAAGGACGAGGATGAATATGATGAAGCCGACTTTAAGAAGGCTCAATTAAATGCCACCGCCATCAACTTCTTGTATTGTGTTGTCAATGCCAACGATTATCAAAAGATATCTCGTTGCCAAACCGCCAACCAAATGTGGAACAAGCTCATGATCACATACGAAGGTACGCCTCAAGTTCGTGAATCAAAAATTGATTTACTAACCCATGAATATGAGCTATTTGCTATGAAAGAGAACGAACTTGTGGAGGACATGTTTGGAATATTTTCAAACATCGTCAACGACCTTGATATGCTTGGAAAGACGCTCACCGACAAGGAGTTAGTGAGGATTGGAAAATCCTGCGAAGTCTTACCAAGGAATGGGAGTCAAAGGTTAACTCCATCTACGAAGGCCGAGATTACAACGTCATTACATACGACGGTCTCGGAGGTAACCTTATCACTTACGAAACAAATCATCTTTCTCATACTCTTGACGTTAAGAAGAGAACGGGAATTGCTTTTAAAGCATCTTCTTCTCAAAAAGTAGAGATCGATGATTCGGATTCGGATAGTGATAGTGATTCTAGCACTTTTTGTGATATTTTGGTTGAATGTTTTAACGAGTTTATGAAACATGTCAAGGAACCCATTCAACCAAAAGCTCAAGCTTGTGGTTGTGGCCCAAGAACAATTATTTATATTCTAACACACCCCCTCACGTGCAGGCGTAGTCTTTTTTTTTCGAGCCTTGCACATGAAACCTTAATTTGTTTTTAAACTGGGTGGCGCTGACTTTTGAACCCGTGACCTCTTAGTCAACGAGGCTCTGATACCCTGTCAAGGAACCCATTCAACCAAAAGCTCAAGATTGTGGTTGTGGCCCAGGAACAATTATTTATATTCTAACAAAACATGAGCTTAATAAGAGCAAGAGGAAAAACACCCCAAGGTGTCACACGTGCGGAAAGCTTGGCCACCGTAAATTTGAGTGCCCGAAGCTCAAGAAAATGAGCAAACAAGATGAATTTGCATATTTTTCGTGGAGTTATGATCAACCTTCCAAAGACGATTCCCTCATCGGTGTTGAAGAACAAGATGGGTGGTCGGGCATGTGACGCACTTGAAAGGCGTGCTTGAAGACTACAAAGTTTGTAGTGGATGCTCCAAGCACTTAGCCAAAGAGATTGCATCAAAGGGGAGTGATTACATTTTTTTTATATTAAATGTTATTTTTGAGATTTATTTGTGATAATTGTTATTTGGGGAATATACATAGGATAGTTTGCATATAGTAAGGGGGAATTTATTGCTATATGTGTTAATCTTTTTGTATGCTTTAATTTTTTAAGGGGAGGTAGCATACTTTAAGGGGGAAGTATTTTATTTCCTAGAAATGCATGATTTTGGGGGAATGTGATTTTTCTTAATTGTTTAGAATTTTTTTCTCCCCGGAATGCATGAGTTCTTTTGTTGCATTATTTTTGATAATGCCAAAAGGGGGAAGAGTATAGGAGTATATGCTTTAATTTGTTTTTTTGGTAGCATATCCTCCATGTGTTTGTCATTATCAAAAAGGGGGAAATTGTTGGAATGCATGAGTTCAACCCTTTCTGTGTTGTTAAGTGTTGACTCACAGGTTTTGATAATTGACAAACACAATTTATTCAAGTCAAGATCAAAGTGCTACAACGACAAACACGAAGATTTGAAGTGCCATTCCTTGAGTCAACACTTAACAACACAGAAAGGGTTGAACTCATGCGTTCCAACAATTTCCCCCTTTTTGATGATGACAAACATACAGAGGATATGCTACCAAAAAATAACAAATTAAAGCATATACTCCTATACTCTTCCCCCTTTTGGCATTATCAAAAATAATGCAACAAAAGAACTCATGTATTCTGGGGTGGAAAAAAAATCTAAACATTAAAAAAAAGACATTCCACATAAAATCATGCATTTCTAGGAAATAAAAAACTTCCCCCTTATTGTATGCTATCTCCAAAAAAAAGCATACAAAAATATTAACACATAGCAATAATTCCCCCTTACTATATGCAAAACATCCTATGTATATTCCCCAAATAATAATTATCACAAATAAATCTCAAAGATAACATTTAATTTAAAAAATAGTATTTACACCCCTTTGATGCAATCTCTTTAATTTAGTTAAGTGCTTGGAGCATCCACTACAAATTTGTAGTCTTCAAGCACACCTTTCAAGTGCGTCACGTACCCGACCACCCATCTTGTTCTTCAAGAGGGATGAGGCAATCGTCTTTGGAAGGTTGATTGTGCTTCCACGAAAAATACGCGAATTCATCTTGTTTGCTCATCTTCTTGAGCTTCGGGCACTCAAATTTTCGGTGGCCAATCTTTCCGCACTTATGACATTGTGGGGTGTTTTTCTTCTTGTTCGTGTTTAGATCATGTTTCAAAAACTCGTTAAAACATTCAACCAAAATATTACAAGAAGTGCTAGAATCACTATCAATGCTAGAATCGCTATCACTATACGAATCATTAATCTCTACTTTTTGTCGTTTTTGAGAAGAAGATGCTTTAAAAGCAATTCATGTTCTCTTCTTTACATCAAGAGTATGAGAGAGATGATTAGTTTCATAAGTTATAAGGTTACCTCGAAGACCGTCGTATGTGATGACGTTATAATCTTGGCCTTCGTAGATGGAGTTAACCTTTGACTCCCATTCCTTGGTAAGACTTCGCAGGATTTTCCTCACTAACTCCTTGTCGGTGAGCGTCTTTCCAAGCATATCAAGGTCGTTGACGATGTTTGAAAATCTTCCAAACATGTCCTCCACAAGTTCGTTCTCTTTCATAGCAAAATTAGATCAGGAAAATAGGACACAACCTATACAAGTGAATAGATTTTCTTTAAAGATTTGATCTGATCTTATGGCATTTGAATTTGATTTGATTTGATTAGATTTGTTTTGGTCTGATTTGATCTAATTAGGTCCAATCCGATGTATTTAAAGATTAGATTAGACAAATAGGACACAACTTATACAAGTAAATTGATTTTATTAATTTATAATTTGTATTTTTATTTATAATATAAATTTGTAAATAAAATTATTTTAAAAGATGAAATATTTTTGACATTGTATGATAGTGTAATTTGTTTTCAGATGAAAGGAGTATAAAATTCTAGCCTCCAAAATGAATTTTTAAGCCTTAATGAATTTTACAAATCCCTCTTCAAATATTCAAAATCCTCTTCAAAATCTTCCCAATTTTATTTCAAATTTTGAAAATCCAAACTCAAACCAAAAATATTGTCTCATACAAAGCATTCCTCCACCAAAAAATGGTCTCAACCAAACTCAAACCAACAATCTAGGATTATTCTACCGTGCGGTCCACCTTTCCCATTGATTACTCCATCGTTCTAAAGCCTTTTCATTTCGATTTTCGGAGCTTCCTCTTCGTATCCTTATTGCGCAACTCTTGGTGAACTTATCTTGGGGCTGGATCACGATGAATCGTAAGTCAACGCCTACGATGCACTATTCATCAACGAGCGAGAACTTCGATTTCATCTCAATTCGAAATCAATTGGAGGCCATACTTTGGATATTTTGGACAACCTTGAGTGCACTTTCAAGGTTTGAAGTTGGACTTCTTTATCGTTTATCCTTGTTTGTTAGTGTTGGGTTGTTGGATTTGTTTGTACTGTTCACTACGTGTTCTTGAAGTTGGATTTCTTTATCTTTTGTCCTTGTTTGTATGTTTGTACATTCGAGTTAGATCTATTTTGTTTTTATTTTTATAAACGAAGGATAGAAAGGGAGACATGCATTTTCAAGATTTTTTGAAACCACGAAATAGAAAAGGCCAGAATGATTCAAGTAAGTTTTTCCCATCTTTGTTTTAGTGGTGTTTGTTTTTGAGCTTTTGTCTGGACTTTTGGGTGCTTCTGTGCTAGAATTTTATGCCTACACCATAAATGGGTATAAACGTTTCATTTCCCATAACCCTATTTAACTGATGAATACTCTGATATGTTTTACTGCATTAACATGTTCAAGTCGACTCTAGTCGGTTCCATCTTTGAAATCTGCTTTCCTGTATTTGCTTGAATCTCTTCAGGTTTATAGTCTTAAATGGCTTTGACAAATTTTCATCGTGTGTCATTCTAGAACCCTTATATATCGTGACATCTACATATTGTAAAGGGGATTTTCTTCTATGCTAGATTATTGCGGGAGCAACGGGAGTTTTTGCCTTCAAATAATGGAAGCAAATACTATACATGAACATAATTCTCCAGTCAGACATAATTCTCTATTTGTTTCCAACTTACAGGTTCAAGAATATAATATGTTGAAGCTGCCACACTTTGTCACTTCTGCGAGACTGTGACCCTTATAGGCCTTGATGAGCTAAATGCTAACCTGATTCCATTGAGCACTGCTTTCACTGAGATTCTGTAGATTCATATACAAGACTATATTTTAGGGCTAATTTGATATTTTTATTTAAAAAAGCATTCTTCTTTCAGTTTCCTTAGCATTTTTTCAAGCAAAACCAAACATAATAACAACTTTCTTTAGCAAATTTTATTTTTCCCTAGAACTTTTTTGTGATCCCAATATTCCCTAAGTGTGTTATATGTTGCCCCACTCATGGAAGACCACATATGTTGCCCCACTCATGGAAGACCACTTTGACATGAAAAACCAAAATGGACACAATGCTCTGGAGTGTGTCCGTCCATTTTTTATTTAAAAAAAATAAAAAATGGTATAATTCAAACACACGTTGCCAATAAGAACAGAACCTTGAGCAAGCAATGAGAGAGTCCAGTCTCTCAATGATTTGCTGGTTCCGACAGTTCAACCGTACATTTCTATTCGGTGAGTGAATGACATAATTCAAATTTCTTATATTCAATGCCAAGATCATATTGCATTTCCTTGATTTACAACTAAAGATATGTTCACCAAAGGCTATTTCAATTTTGGACCTTGTAATATGTGCATTAACTTCTTTTTCCTTTCTTTTATACTTGTGTGTTATAGAATACGTCTTTCATCCTATTCGAAAAGTAAAACCCCTCTCTTTTTTTATATCATTTTATTCCTATACCAAAAGAGTTTTTTCTAGGCAATGCTAACTCCACTTCACTATTTTCATTGAACACCTGAGCAGATTCATCCACATTTATATGAGGCATTAATGGAGGTGCAATAGATGCTGAAACAGGCATATAAATTCATGGATACCAAATTAAAGAGCCTCTTGTTGCAGGAAGAGCAGGTTGTTGTTTGCTATGAAAACCAAAAATCAAGATGTCTATTATGGGGAATTTCACCTCCTGCTCCTTCACTGAACTTGTCCCTTCAATAACATGTTCAACCAACTCCATGGAATGGCTAGAGATTATACGTTCTAGGTGGCTGTCTCCAACAATTAGTTCTTGATTCACAATGACCATTTACGTAGTTATTGGGTTTCTGCTGGCAGGTGGGAGATTGAAGTTCAATCCATGAAGATTCTCAAGGATTAGGTTCCTCACTTGTTCCTCTGTAGGAGCAACAACCTGTATCATAGGAATATGATGGATTGAAGAGGCAGGCATGTAGAATATGCAAATTGTAAGGAAAATGATGTAAATATTAATAATATTTTAAATGTATGAGTTTATGTATTGTTCAATATATTGTATTTTTTGAATTTATATTTACTTGGTAATCAACACAAGATAACAGATGTCTAATAAAAAATTCAACTACCGTTCAAACTAATAGTTTGAAAAGTAAATATACAACTACACAAACCCGTAGTGTTAATAACATTTAGACAACTAGAACAAATAGTTTTTTGAAATACTACAAAAATAGTAGTTCATATTTTTAAATTACAACGTGAAATAATAGTTGTCTGAAGCAAATTTCTTTAGTAATCTTTAGAGTAGCTGTCTAATAAACAATTCAATTACTGTCATAAAAGATAGTTTAAATACTTCAAGGAAAATTACAAAACACTGTCGTGTTAATAATCAATATACAACTAAAATAAACAGTAGTTTGAATAAGAATTATGTTAGTAGTCCATATTCTAGAAATACAACAAAATATAATAGTTGTCTGAGGGCTATTTTTGTTTAGTAGTCTTCCGAGCAGCAGTCTGATATATCTTTCAATTACTTTTTAAAGTAGATGTCTATATGGTTGAATGACAACACCAAGAATTAGGACTCTATAGTTAAAAACAACATTAGTATTCATTATAGATAGACAACAAAAAATCACAGTTCTCTTTATCTCTAAACAACCGATGTCTTACTCATACAAGGACAACTCTAAAAAGTCATACTCTAAAATATTACAAAACGGGTGTCGTCAACCATTTTATTTACACAATTGTTTTTAAACAATAGTCTGCAAATATATCAGACAACTGCTCGAAAGACTAGTGAAATCAGCACCGTGAGACTACTAAAAGAAACTGTTGTCAGCATATGTTTTTGACGTAGTGCACGTCCGTGTAATTGTCCTTCACTAAATACCTATACTATAGAGTTTTACACTTTCAATAAATAATAGACTCTATATATCTATGTATTGAAATAAAATTCTTACACCTTATTTGATGACCAACTCTATTTGCGTCCAATTCTTTTGCTCGTTGCACCTTCTTCAAGATCTTCTTTAAGGGCGTGTTGCTGGCCTAAACGTCAAGCTTCACTTTCTGTACTTCACTATGAACTTAAGTTCTTAAATACATGTAGTAGCTTGAGGATGGAAGTGTTAGTTAATGTGTCCACGCCTTAGAGCAAGGTGAATAAGGTGTTTAGATAAAATTAAAAACTTTTTCCTCCATTCAAAAATAATGCTGCATCTTAAAAAAATAAGTAGGTTGAAATATATATGGAGTAATAAACAAAATAAATAAAAGCATAAAGTAAGTTAATTGTATTTTATACTAGTTTGGGAACTTTCTACTCGAGTACCTTAAGGCTCCCCCTTAAGGATTTTCAATCCACTAGAATGCCTTGATTGTCCAACACGATCATCACAACGAAACTAGTGTTTGGCAAACAAACTTTTGCCAATATGTGTACACTAGGGAGACAATATATACTTCATGCCTTGAAGCATCCAACTAGCTTGAGGATTTTCCAATGGCTATCCTTGATCGTTTCAAGAGACTTCACCTCTGCTACCTCTAATAGTCTGAACAAGGATTTCACGGACCGCTATCGGAGATTTCATGATGGATATCTCCAACCATTCTTTAATGGAAATTTTATAACGGATTTCTTCATCCAATTACAAGGAGTATGACTTTAATTGTAATGTCTTGAAACCTGGCCTATTAAAATTAATCAATTTAATTAATTGATTATTAATACGAACCAAGGTTGGGAGAAATAATGTATTGAGAAAATTTATTTGATAACGTCATAATACTCATCTTGACAGTATGGTTCTTGAAACGCAAATGGTACTCAATCTGGAGCAGTTCGGGGAAAAAGCGCGTACAGTTCAATCGGGGAAAAAGCGCATACAATTCAGGTCAAAAATTACATTACAGAGCAACACAAAATGAATCCCCAATTTCCCCTGCATGGTTCGCCCCCCACACTCCACCCTTGCCTTGTTTTCATATCATCATCACATTTAAAATCAATACATCTCCCTTTCTCTTCCTTTTTTAATTTATCCACCAATAATCATACAATCCACTTTCCTCTCCACTCTCCCTTTTGGATGGCACGACAGTAATAACAGAGGCATGGCGTAGCTTCGGTGAGAGGATGAAGATGAAGAGAGATGAAGAAAGTGCATACATTGAACACTCGTGAAACGTAGCGCTATTCGTATCATTTTCATCAACTAATCATCACGTTCTAGAGTTTGAGCACGTTGCCTCTTTAGCTCTAGAATCTGTAGTTATATTCAATATATCTATATTCATAGGATTGTCATAACTTACATCGAATCTGTATATTCATTATAATGCTATGTGTCGTAAACTTTGTTAAATATCATCTAGGTATCATTAGTAAATACTATTAAATGACTATGATTATGCTCTAAAAAAGAATCAAGACTTAAAACTAGGAAACAGACCAAAATCACTCTCACGGCCTTGTCACTACAATAGTGATGGTCGATCGTACGGGAGGGCTTACCGTCTACCACAGTCATGCTCAAACGTAGGCAGGGGAACACTCAACCATCCTCAGCTATCATGGACCATTGCCCAACTTGAAGGCCTGCCGTGAGGGGTCTCAGACTGTGTGGCCAAATGGTCAACCGTGCTGGAGTTAAATTCTAGACAAATTCCAGTTTCAGACTCCTCGACCTATTTCACTTCAAGTGTTCCATTAATTGTTGTTATAAACATTATCTACTGTATGAATGTCACATGGGGTGATATATTCTTAAATTTAATCCAAAGGTTTGTACGTACATTCATATCATCATGCATATCTGGACGCATGTCGTAGAGTTCACTCATTCTATCCTACCGCCTAATGGGTCAGTCCTAGTGCACTTCTTAGCACGGGCCCATCCAGGAGCCTTCGAGTCCAACGAGTTTCATTTGGGGGCTTTGTGTATGTACATGGTAATCACAGTTTGTTTACCACCCCTTATTTCTAGTCTCACGAAAAGACTAAGGTTTGCCCGAGTCATCACCTTCGTGGGATGACATCGAACCTCAGGGGGTCCCTGCACGGCTAACTCATGCATCATGAATCATTTAGTGATTATGAGATTTACGTACGTTAAGTACAAGCTCGAATAATTTGGTCATTATGTGATTTTCGTATGTTAAGTATATGTATGAATATGGTTATATCTATATGGACTATTACTATGTGTGCTTCAGCAATATTACCACTCAGCTTATGCTTAGCGTATAATGTTGTTATTCTATACGCAAGGAGGCATGATGAACTTGGAGCCTATTCTCGTGGGCCACAAGAGTGAGGAGTTGTACAGACGGTGATCGTGGATTTTTATGACTTCTTTATTTTTATTTTAATCAAATGGGTTTGAATCCACACTTATCGTATTTTAATATAATGGACTGAAGTTTGGTTTTGCTTCTGCATTTTAGACCGTTTCATTTCCTCCATATGTTTTAGGGATTATTTTCCCAAAGGGTTTTATTTATAAAAATATGACAAGGGATTTAATTTAAAGGATTTTATTCTAATTTAAAAGGTTTTTATTAAAGACTTTCATTGGATGGTCCTTAATACCATCTATGTGACCCCTTCGGCCCGTCGGTTGTGGTGAACCGGGTACACGAGTTGGATGGTGTTACAATTTGGTATCGGAATATTTGGTTTGAAAAACAATTTTTGGGACCCAACTCAAAGGCATTTTTTTCAAAATCCACTGTCGCATATCCCGTCACATCGCTGCCCGAGAAGGTAATTGTGTTATGTGCTCTTCTTCCTAAGTCTCATCCTTGGCCCTTGTGCCCCTATCATTAGTGAGATGCTTGGGTTTCTAAACACCGGCCCATCAACTAGGACAAATGGGCTTTGGGTGTACGGGGAAGGAACAAGTTCATAAAAAAAATTAGAACAAATTATTTAAAAATGATTAAAAAATTTAAATATTATCTCGAAAAAACAAGCTTCCACGTACAAATAATGATATTGCACTAGTCCAATTTTAGTTGATTCGTCAAAAATTTTGATTTCAAACTTAACTAAATCTGAGAGATGCACTCAAAGGAGTTGACTAAATTTGAGTCAAATCAGGGTGGGGGTTTTACCAGGTTTACGGGTAGGGAAAAAGATAAAATTTAAAGTAAAACATTAAAAATATATACCAAAATATAAATTTCATGTTTTTATTCCCGAAATACGAGTTAAAATACATTTACATTACCAAACATGGTCGTGCACATTACCAAAAAGTATAATATTGTGCACATGTACAATGACACATTACCATCATATTACCACAAAAGAAATCACCCTAAATAGGACAAAAACATAGAGAAAAGTACCAAAATAAGACTTTCATGTTTTTTTCCCCGAAATAGGATTTTGCACTGTGGTAATGTGACTTTGCCCTGTTGTAATGTGGCAGTGTACATGTGCAAATTACTATACTTTTTTGGTAATGTATATGACCATGTATGGTAATGTAAGTCCTATTTCGAGAATAAAAACATGGAAGTCCTATTTTAGTATATTTTCAATGTTTTAGTCTTACTTTGGTCTTTCTCCCTTACCACAATACGAACTTCTATTATATTTCGTGAATAAAAACATAAAACTCCTATTTTGGTATTGTTTTCTATGTTTTAGTCCTATTTAGGGTAATTTCTATTACGGGTATGAATTATTAATTTTCAAATGGAACATGATAAATGTCTCAATTTGATCGTTAACACTACCCTAATAAATATCACAAACCATTAATGAAATAACTTACCCTAATCCTATATATCCTATCCTATATCCTATATATATATGTAAAAGAGAGTTCCAAAGTTGTAGTGATGACACGTGTCATGCCACGCGTGCATACTATTGACATGTGTCACGCCACATGTAAATCACATGACACATGTCCATCCATCCATGCATAGTTAATTTTGTATTAAATAATCCTTATTTTTATTTTTATAAACTCTTCACTTTCCAACAATAAAAAACCATTATTTTTATTAGCTTTC